GGTATTTGTGTTTTTACTGCCAGTCCTGTTTTGAATGGGAAAGGACAGCCACGTTTCATACCTACTAAAAAACCTCTTTTTTCCCTAAGTACAAAAGTAATACAGAGCCTCACAGTATAAAATAAACACAACAACCCAGAAGTAAATAGGATGACAAGTGGAAGTTCCCCTTTACCTTCTGCCACAAATCCTACTCCTCTATTAACATAGTATGAATTCTTTCAAGAGATTCTTTTAAAATGCATCTGAATAATTTAAAATAAACCTATTAGAACTCTATCAGATGTATCGCAACCCCCACCACCACTTGACAGAATGTCATTGCTTCTCATTGGATAAGATCCTCACCACTAAACCCTTTGCAGAAGCAGAGATGCCTCTAACTCCTAACCCTGCTTCATTAATTAAACTCATTAAAATTTGCAACAGCTTCCTGGCCCTTGAGAATATTCACAGTCATGTAAAAAGGAGACCCTACCATTAAGTGTTAGAATCATTTAAAAAAATCACTTTGTATATATCAACTCTTCAATTTTTTTACAAAGACCCTATTAGGTAGGTAGGATTATTAGTCTCATTTTATAAAGATGAAAAATCTGAAGCACAGAAAGGTCCAGTGGCTTCTCACATACTGGTAAGTGGCAGTCTATACTTTAAAGCCCGGGTGGCTGATCCTCATGCAGGGCTTTTGGGAAGCATGAACATAGCCACAGGCACTGAATGCCAATGTTTCTCCACAGCCACATGCAATGAAACCCCCAGTGACTTAGAAAGACAGACTCCAGGATGCTTGGGTAGCTCAGTTGATTGAGTGTCTGACTCTTGATCTCAGTTCTGGTCTTGATCTCAGGGTCATGAGTTCAAGCCCTGCATTGGGCTCCAAGCTGGGCATGGAGCCTACATTTAAAAAAAAAAAAAAAAAGCAGATTCCTACACTTCAATCCAGACCTATGGAATCAGTAGTATGAAACCCTCCACTTTAAGACTTTACTAAAGACATTTTTTCATTGTGCTAAAATATATATAACATAAAAACTTACCATTTTGACTGTTTCCAAGTGTATAGTTCAGTGGCATTAAGTACGTTCAGAATAATGTGAATTCACACTATTGTGAATGTACTTAACTATCACTACCATCCATCTCCAGAACTTTTTCATCATCCCAAACTAAAACTCTGTACCCATTAAACAACTCCCAATGCCCATCCCACAGTCCCTGGTAACCCCCATTCTATTTTCTGTCTCTACAAATTTACCTATTCTAGATATCTCATATGATTGGAATCACACAATATTTGTCCTTTTGTCACTCAGCACAATGTCTTCAAGGTTCATCCATGTTGTAGTATGTGTCAGAATTTCATTCCCTTTTTAAGGTGGAATGCCGTTCCTCTGTATGTATAGACCACATTTTGCGTATCCATTCATCCATCAGTGGATACTTGGGTTGCATCCACCTTTTGGCTACCGTGAATAATGCTGCTATGAACATGGGTGTGCAGATATCTCTTCAAGATCCTGCTTTCAATTCTATGGGGCGTATACCCAGAAGCGGACTTGCTGGATCAAAGGGTAATTCTATGTTTAGCTTTTTAAGGAACCATCATAACCAACCCTGTTTTCCTCAGCGGCTGCGCCATTTTACATTCTCACCAGCAATGCACGAGCTTCTAATTTCTCCACATACCCTCCACCACTTGTTATTTTCTGTTTTTTTTTCCCCCCTCAGTGTTATAATAGCCATCCAAAGGGGTGTAACACGATCCTCCACTTGACTGTCACTCATACCAAAGTCTGAGAATTGCTAGTCTTTAGAAATCTTAGCATTGGAAAGAGAGGAGGCAGTGAGCCTTCTAAGTCTGAGAAGCAAAGCAGGGATTCGGGTACCCGTGTCATCATCAATAGTAGATTGACTGGGAAAGCTAGACCATTCCCCAAATGAAAAAAAAATTTAAGGAATAGCCTTAGACCACTGGCTAAGGAGCTGGTAGGTGGAAGAGAAAAAGGGAGATAGTTTCTGACCTTGACAGCTACACTGAGCTGGGCCAAAGCAAAGAAAAAAGTCCTTCAAACCAAAGAGTTTTCCATAGCAGCCTTGAGCAGTGCTTGGAAATAACATATAACATTTAGCCACCCCGTCCACTAAGGGGAAAAAAGTTCGTTTCTGGCAACATCTAGCTGAGTTGATGAGGCCCTGCCACCATGGCGAGGGAAACGGATGCCGTTTATGAAAGAGAGGACGAAAGAAGGCAAGGGAGGAAACCCATAAAGGGGGGAACGGTGAGCCATGACCTTGGGTTTCCCTCCACCTGAAAGCTTCCTTAATAGGTGCATACTCACATAATTTTTGATGGAAATAATGCACTGGTTAACAAGCTGGACCCAGGTTTTCAAGTGATGAAATTATGCCCCCTAGTGGTTGTTTTCTAGGACATTCTAGTCATTAAAGATGTGCAGGTGAAGGTGAGGAAGGCAAGGAGGTAACAGTTTTAACTTAGTTCACTATAGGGGACGATTTAGAAAATATTTCCCTCAACCCTACTTCCAGTGGTAATCTGCGTGATGCTGGCAGGACCTTCAGTAATGGAGAGTAACTGACATCAGTTGCATTTCGAGTGCTTCCATATCATATTGCGCTCTTCTGGACAACAAAGCTCCGTTTTACTATTGTTACTATTATCACTATTCTCATGTAAAGAGTAAAGGAACAGAGGCTCAGAGAGATTGAGTGACTTTTCCAAGGCCATGGGCTCCGCTCTTGAGCCACAGCTCCTCTCAACATGTAAACACGTAAGAACATACTGGAAAAGAAACAGTAAAATCATTAGAAGAAAAATCCGTTATCTCCTTACTTGAGTTCTCTAGCACGGCGAGGGGGAAGCAGAGATATACACTAGAAAACAATTTTATGTACTTTTTGTACCATACAAATAATAAAATTATGAAGAAAAAGGAAAGAAGGCGCCTGGGTGGCTCAGATGGTTGGGCGAGTGCCTTCGGCTCAGGTCATGATCTCAGTGTCCTGGGATCGAGTCCCGGGTCCCGCTCTCTGCTCAGCGTGGAATCTGCTTCTCCCTCTGTGCTCATGTGCTCCCTCTCTCTCTCTCAAACAAATAAATCAATAAAATATTTAAAGAAAAAATAAAAAGGAAATAAAAGAAAAAAATTATTCATAATCCCACCATACAGAGCTATTCAGTCTTTGCATTTGGGTGATAGTTATCTAAGACTTCTTACCACACATACATATAGCAGTAAAGAAACAAGAGTCTTTTTTGTTGTTGTTCATTGAGGCATTGTATTTGTATGTATGTATTACATCCCAATAAAGGAATCCCAGGATTTTCTGTCCTATCTGTTTTAGCGTTGCTTCCTCTTGGTCTACGATGACAGCTGAGGTCATCAGCACAGTGAAACCAAACTGATGGGACGAGAGCAGATTGTTCTGTCATTTTTCTACATCACTGAATTGCATACCAAACCACACTTGTTTGACCTGAGCGTAGGTTCACAACGATTCCCCCAGCTCTGTGATAATTAATGGTTTCACACTGACCCACGTACGCATGCTTCAGCATCAGTTAGAAATGCCTTTGGAGCACAGCCTAAATAAGAGCCTACTGTTTGCCTCTCTTCTCAGCAGTGTTGATGCCCTTGAGAGCAGAGCGTTGGCCAGCATGTTCACAAATGCCATTACGGCGGTATGGAAAGATGGTGGAAAGAGCACCACAGCTTTTGATAACCTACCTATCCCCTTCCCAGATCACAACACTCTTTCTAAATGCTGCTGCCTTAGACTTTTTTTTTTAGTGGGTTTATTCATAATAGTCAAACCCTGGAAAGAAGCCAAATATCCAGATGTTCATCAACCAGCTGAATGAATAAGTAATTTGTGACATATATATATTTATGCATATTATGTATACATATGATTATATGAATACATATATTACATAATCTAAAATTTAGTGTTTACTATTCTCTCCTCCCCCCCAGCCCTTGGTAACCATTGTTCTATTTTCTTTCTCTAAGAATGTGACTCTTCTCAGTACCTCACATAAGTTAGATCATACAGTCTTTGTGTGACTGGCTCATTTCACTCAGCATAATGTCTTCAAGGTTCATCTATGTTGTAGCATGGATCAGTACTTCATTCCTTTTAAGGTGGAGTGATATTCCATCGCATGTATATACCACATTTTGTGTATCCATTCACACACTGATGGACAATTTGGGTTGTGCGTTTAACTTTTCAAGTTTCCTTTCTTGCCACTTGTGTAATTACAAAGCCATCAGAACATCAAGGAGTGTTACGTGCCTCATTGGTAAGCCTGGCATATGGTAGTGAAAAGACAACATTAAGTGAATGCTGTGAGGAGGTTGCCTCGAGTTCTTAAATCTTTACTGAAGGCTGAAAGATTCCTATCTTAGAAGGTGCCCACCAGGCACTGCTGGAAAGAGCATTAGAGGCAATCCGGAGAGTGTTTTGTCGATCTGCAGCCAACTGTGGTACATGCTGCATGAGGCTCTGACCCGAGAAGACTGCCGGAAAAACTGTAGTTCCAGGAAGGTGTATTAGGAGGAAGCCCTAAGGAACATCTTTTCAAGTTAGATAGAGTGGTTTAGGACAAACAAAAGTATACAGTGGGTAATCAAAATGTAGTGGCAGCTACCTGAAGAGGCAGCTGAGGTTCAGCTAAAACTAAGTACTCGTTCCTATCTGTGGCATGAATAGCTAGCTACGTGAGTTTAAACGAATCCAGGCCCACAATAAATCATCACCCACCATGTAGACTTCATTTTAAAGTGGGCTTCCCGACAGTCTCCGCCGAGAGTCGCCGCGGTTTCCTGCTTCAACAGTGCTTGGACGGAACCTGGCGCTCGTCCCCCACCCGGGCCGGCCGTTCAGAGCCAGCCCTCCGCCATCTCTTCCTCGCGCCCTCGGACGGCTCCAAGGCCCCCGCCGCCGCTCGCCGCCCCCTTTTCTCAGCCGCTGCCATGACGACCGCGTCCCCCTCGCAGGTGCGCCAGAACTACCACCAGGACTCGGAGGCCGCCATCAACCCCCAGATCAACCGGGAGCTCTACGCCTCCTACGTCTACCTGTCCATGTCTTACTACTTTGACCGCAATGACGTGGCTTTGAAGAACTTCGCCAAATATTTTCTTCACCAATCTCATGAGGAGAGGGAACATGCTGAGAAACTGATGAAGCTGCAGAACCAACGAGGTGGCCGAATC